GTGTGTGTGTGTGTGTGTGTGTGTGTGTGTGTGTGTGTGTCTCAGGGAATGTGTACCACGCTGTGTAAGTGGAGGTGAAAAGATAATCTGCAGAAATTGCCTTCCACATTTGGGTCCTGGGGATACAGCTCAAGTCTTAGGGCTTGCAGGCAATCACCTTTACCCGATAAGGCATCTCGAAGGCCCTTCTCCAGCCTTCTATTTACAGTCAATACTGCACCCGTTCCAATCTTCCAGCCCTGAGAAGATGGGAATATGTTCATGCTTTTTTATTATTATTATTTTATTTTTTTGAGATAGGGTCTCAAAAATGCATAGCCCTAGCTGCCCTGGATCTCACTATATAGATCAGGCTGGCCTTGAACTCACAGAGATCCACTTGCCTCTGCCTCCTAAGTGGATATTCCAAGGTTTAGCTGTACATACTCATCATGTACTCTGCAATTTAGCTACATTCCCGGCCCTTGTCTATCCCACACCAATGTCCCAGAGACAGATAATCCCAGCACCAGCCGCTGAACTCTCTCTCGCACCCCAGCTTGTGACATGTTAGGTTAGCCCTTTCCACCTGCTGTTAACGATCCCAAGACAGCTGTGAGGAGGAGTCAAGGATTATACGTGGAGGTATTTTAACAGTACCAGCTACTGAGCAAGTTTCTGTTCAGCGACTTTTAAAACATTAGGAAGAGAACGGGGACCACAGCTCGGCCCCTCGATGCTCACCAAGCATGCATTGGAGCCACAAGCTCAAGCCCTATTGCTGTATAAAGTGGACATGACAGAACCTGCCTGTAATCCCAGCACTCAGGAGGCGGAGGATCAGAAGCTCAAGGTTAGTGGGTGATAGGGCTCAGTGGGAAAAAGTGCTCGCCACTAAGCCCGAGGACTCCCAGAACTACATGGTAGAAAGATGTCAAGGGCCATAAGAAATCCAGCAGGATAACAAATAGTCAACAGGCAGATCCAGCACACGAGTGATACGGAGTTCCACCTGGCAAGGCCGTGGAGTCACTGGCTGTGGAAATCAGTTGCTCCTGTCTGAAATTTCTCCCATGAGTCATTTCATCTCTTCCCTAAGAATAGCTTTGGGTATTTCCCACTGCTTGTGTGTGTTTATCTCATGAAAATATTCCATCTACTGGGTACATATATCTGTGGGAAGTCAGGGGGATGATTTCATTTGGCTGTATAATCTTGATATATAGAATATGCTGGAGGCTTTGCATTCTCAAAAAGGCCCGGAGAATGCATTCTCACAGGGGCATCAGCAGAAAGAGAGACCCATTACTTACCCTGAGGCAGCAGCCTCCAGATCGCACACTACATAGCCTAAGCTTTTCCCTTTGATATAGAGCTAGAAGTCCCCTTTAATCAGCTAACATACTAACTCCCCTTCGCCCGTCTTAGAAATCATAGCCCGTTAACCCCTCCCCACCTCTTAAGCTGTGCCTGGATGTTTTACACGTCATGTCTCCTCCAAGATGGGAGGCGCCCTGCTTCCGTCAAGACCTTACCTGCCTTCCTGGCTCTGAGAGATTTGCGTACCTGGTATCCTTGTTATTACCAGACATTTGTTAATTGTGTGCGAGTGGGTATATAAACTCAAAAGCGTGTGGGATTGAGGAAGAACTTCTAAAGAGTTAAGAGAGAACTTTTGGAGAGAAACTTTTGAAGTGGACTTTAGGAGAGAACTTTTTTTTTTTTTTTTTTAAGATTTATTTATCATGTATACAGTTCGTGCCAGAAGAGGGCACCAGATCACATTACAGATGGTTGTGAGCCACCATGTGGTTGCTGGGAATTGAACTCAGGACCTCTGGAAGAAGAGTCAGTGCTCTTAACCTCTGAGCCATCTCTCCAGCTCTGAGAGAACTTTCTTTGAAGAATAAAGGGGCATGAGAGGAATGTGTGTGTAGCCCAGTCACTTTCTTTCACCCTCAGATCTTTTAGCCAGCCTTACCTGCTGGCTGTAAGCCTCTGGCCTGGACCCTGAGAGGACACTGAGGCTGGAACTAAGAGGTCCTCGTTAGGAGAGAATCAGTTCCCACAAGCTGGCTTCTAACATCCCCACTCCTACTTGCATGTACCCAAACAAGTAAATACGTACATAAATAAATGTAACAGTAAGATGAAGTTTGAGACGGTGCACGTCTTTCATCCCAGCACTCAGGAAGCAGAGGCAGCAGGACATCTGTGAGTTTGAGGCCGGACTGGTCTACAGAGTGAGTTCCAGGACAGCCAGGGCTACACTGAGAGGGTCATTGTCAAACACACACACACACACACAGACACAGACACACACACACACACACACACACACACACACACACAGGGGTGGGGTGTCAAATTCAACCTCAGCTATGTAGCTACTACTTCCAGGCCAATTGAGAGTACGTGAAACCCCAGATAAGAGATGCATTTATTTTTATTCTGTTTGAGTGTTTTGCCTGCACGTTTGTATGTGCACCCATTTGTGCCTGGTGCTGCAGAGGCCAGAAAAATGGCATCTGATCCCCAGGAACTGGAGTTACAGATGGTTAGGAGCCACCACGTGGGAGCTGGGTCCTTTGCAAGAGCAGCCAGTGCTCTTAATCACGGAGCCATCTCTTTAATTTCAATAAAATTTTTCTTAAATTCAACATCATTCTCTACTACATAATGAGTTTGTATTTCATGAGTTCCTATCTCCAAACCCACACACACACACACACACACACACACACACACACACACCACACACACACACACACACACACACACACACACACTCACACACACACACACACTCACACACACACACACAAACTCAAACCATGTTTTGGAGACAAACATTCATGGTGCTCACCCTGTCCAATTTAAAAATAAATAGATACATAAATAAACAAACAAATGTGCCTGACCAAATTCCAGGCTTTTCTCTTCCTGGACTAGATAAATTTCCCTTTTCAACACAACTGCCCAGCAGGTGTCAGTCATGCACCAAACTCAAACATATTGAGCCCCTTTCTTCTGACAGATGGCTTGGGGAGGGAGTTTCTATTTCTAAAGCTCCCAAAGGCCTTGTGACCTAGCAGAGTCTCTTCATAAAATATCCATGTCAATATAGGTCTTGTATATTAAATGGATACAAGTCAGTGTAAAATGGGAGTACCTCGGATAGCGTGTGTTGCATGCCACAGAATGGTGTGCAATAGAGAACTCGGTTTGTTTCATCTTCATTAAACCCATTGGAGGCAGACACACATTCTCCACAAATGTGGAAGGGGGGGGAGGGCGGGGAAGGGAGGAGGATGCAGCCCTCAGGACCACTCCCAATTGAATGATCCCAGCCCTCAGGAGGCAGAGCTAGGGTGATCTCTGTGAGTTCAAAGCCAGTCTGGTCTACATAGAAAGTTCTAGGCCAGACCAGGTTACATAGTGAGACCCTGTCCGTAATTAATTAATTTTAAATTCTAATGGCAATGTTTGATTTTTTTTTTACATGTATGTGTCGGCATACACCCCAGGCTGCACGGAGAAGCTGTAGGTGTCGGTGCTCTCCTTCCCTGCTGTGGGTCCTGGGTATGGAACTCAAGGTCATCAGGCTTGGCAGCAAAGTCCCTTTGCTGACTGAACCATCTCACCAGCCCTGCTTATGAACTTGGTTTTTTTTGAGAGGTATTTACTCTGTAGACCAGGCTGGTCTCAAACTCACAGAGATCTACCTGCCCCTGTCTCCTCAGTGCTGGAGTCAAAGGCTTGTACCACTGTGCCAAGCCTCTGTCTATTAATTTTTAAATACTGTTATTAGGGGCTGGAGAGATGGCTCAGCTGTTGAGAGCACTTCTTGTTCTTTTAGAAGACTCAAGTTTGGTTCTCAACACCCATGTTAGGCAACTCACAGCCACGTGTAACTCCAGCTCCAGGGAATCTGATGCCCTCTTCTGGCCTTCATGGGCCCCACACTCTCTCACACATACAATTAAAAAATCTAAATTCTATCATTTATTTATTTATTTATTTATTTATTTATTTTGTTTTTTTCCAAGACAAGGTTTCTCTGTGTAGCTTTGGAGGCTGTCCTGGCACTCGCTCTGTAGACCAGGCTGGCCTCGAACTCACAGAGATCCTCCTGCCTCTGCCTCCTGAGTGCTGGGACTAAAGGCGTGTGCCACCAATGCCCGGCAAAAAAAAAAAAAATCTAAATTCTAAAACAATACTGTCTTAGTTTGGGTTTCTGTTGCTGTGAAGAGACAGCATGACCAAAGCAACTCTTATGAAGGAAAAACATCTAATTGGGGTGGCTGGGTTACAGTTTCAGAGGTTCAGTCCCATTATCACCATGGTGGGGAGCTTGGCTGCGTGCAGGCAGATGAGAGCTGAGAGCCCTCTGTCTTGCAGGCAACAGAAAAAGTTGACTGAGACACTAGGCTGTATAATGACCATAGGAAACCTCAAAGTACTGTGGAATAATCCTTTGTACACTGTGAAGATGTGTGGCTCTTGTTGGTTTAATAAAGAGCTAGGCACAAAAAAAAAAAGAAAAGAAAAAGAAAAAGAAAAAAACAGCAACAAAACAAACAAACAAAAATCCAGCCGGGCATTGTTGACACATGCCATTAATCCCAGCACTCGGGAGGCAGAGGCAGGTGGATCTCTATGAGTTCGAGACCAGCCTGGGCTACAGAGCCGGTTGGAGGACAGGCTCCAAAGCTACACAGAGAAACCCTGTCTCGAAAAACCTAAATAAATAAATAAAGAGCTAGGCAGGGAGAGGAAGGAACTGAGCCGTGTGGTAGAAAGTATATAAGAAATATGGGTCAATTAATCTGTAAGAGCTAGTAAGTAACAAGCCTAAACTATCGACCAAACATTTATAATTAATAATACATCTCTGTGTGATTAAATGGGCTTGCTGGAGGGACAGAATATTCCGCCTACATCAAAGCCCACCCCCACAGTGATGCACTTCCTCTAATAAGGCCACACCCACGCCAACAAAGCCTCACCTGCTACTAATGCTGCTCCCTAAGAGATTATGGAGTCCAGTTACATTCAAACTACCACAAATGCCATCAGTAAAACATTTTGCCATTGCTCTTCTGATGCTTTGTGCCCCTAAAATAGCTTTCTTTCTAAACTGAAGTTTTGTTTTTGTTTTTGTTTTAAACAGGGTCCCTAAACTATATTGAACAATCGACTGCACAAGGGATTCCCAATTGCAGGTAATTTCTTATACAAAGCACAACACAGTTGTTTGAGTTCTTCATGGGCCAGTCACAATATCACCACCTCCAGGAACACACACACTGGTATGAGGCAGCTGACATGGGAGACAACACTTGGCCCTGGGAACTCTGCCCTCCAGTTTTCCCCCATCCCCTTGAACTCCTGATCCTCCTGCCATAGCCTCCCAAGAGCTGGGATGATAGGCGTGTGTGTGTGTACCACCACACCTGACTCGGTCATGTGACTTTGGTCAATGGGATATCAGCAAGTCTGATGCAAGCAGGACTGTTTCCTCTCAAGACGCTGTCTCTTGGAACCCATAGTCACAATGCTGGCTAGTTTTAAGTCAACTTGACACAAGCTAGAGTCATCTGAGAGGAGGGAAACCCAACTGAGAAAACACTTCCACAAGATTAAGCTGGAGGCAGGCCTGTAGAGCATTTTCTTAGTTAGTGATTGATAGGGACAGGCCCAGCCCTTGTGGGTGGTGCCACTCCTGGGCTGATGGTCTGGCATTCCATAAGAAAGCAGCCTGAGCAAAACATGAGAAGCAAGCCAGTAAGCAGCACCCTCCACGGCCTCTGCATCAGCTCCTGCCTCCAGGATCCTGCCCTGCTTGAGTTCCTGTCCTGACTTCTTTCAGTGATGAACAACAGGGACATGGGAGTCTAAGTCAAACAAACCCTTTCCTCCCTAGGTTGCTTTTGGTCCTGCATGGTGTTTTGTCACAGCAATAGCGCCCCTAACTAGGAACTCGCCATGGAGAGACCCACCTGCCCTCCCGGACCACACGAAGAGATTCTTGGTTTATCCAACAGTTGCCAATTCTCATTTATCATACCTGTGACTGATTCAGTGTTGGGTTCCAGCATAAGCTCCCAGGTGACTCTGGCTGTAATAGTGACCAAAGCAAGATGCTTCCTGCTGAGCCCAGTCCAGACTGCAGAGCCCACAGGCATCGTGAGGTCGTGTTTGAAGCCCCATGTCCTAAAATGCACTAACGTGGTATAGTAGTTACTTTCCTTCTGGGGCCCGTGAGCAGCAGCCTAAGGGAAGTGTTTGGCTCATGGTTTCAGATGATTTGGTCCACAGATGCTCTGTGAGTCAGAGTTGTCAAGGCACTAGGAGCAGATGGCAGAAAAGCTTCTTCATGACTAACAAGGAGCTGGAAAAGAGGTAGTAGGAAGAGGCCAGGGCAGGGCATAGCCCCCAGGGACATATCTCTGATGACCTAATGAATCTCTCAAAGGGTGTGTCAACTCATTCCCTCAGAGCACTCACCACCACTTCTCTGGAAACACCCTCTCAGACACACCCAGAGCTGTGCTTCATCTCCTGAATGTTTCCTAATCCAGTCAAGGGGACAGAACAAACCCTTGTACATGACTTGGTTTGTGGTCCAAGAGAGTCCATAGGCAGGAGGACTCCTGTGGGCAAAGGGGCTTTCTGGAGTATCGAGTCTGGGTAACTCAATGGGGTAAATGGACCAAGGGCTACAGGGCGAATCTGAGAAGTAGGCTTGGTGGATGTCCTGTCTTGGTTTGAGTTTCTCTGGATGCAGATGCTGAGAACATCTGAAGGCCTTTAACAGGGAGAGAATACCAATAGGGAGGCTAGAATAGCCGCAGCCAGGGGAGGCCAGGGAAGAAAGCTGTGTTACCTAGTGTTTCGGGAGCCAGGGTTTGATTCTGATGGGGATGGGGGGAGCCTCAGCAAGCCTGCACTTGAGGGTTTTAATGCAACAAGGAGATGAGGGGCCCGGGGTATTTTACATATCAGCTCCTGCTTGTCATCAGTTGAGGGGTGTTAGGTTAGAGCAGGAAGTGGGCGTGATACCCCAGAATTTCCTTCCTTCCTTCCTTCCTTCCTTCCTTCCTTCCTTTCTTTTCTTTCCCCCTCTCTCTCCCTCTCCTTTTAATTTTAAAATAATAAAATGAGGTAAGTATTTTCTCTATAGTCCAGGCTTGACTTAAACTTGAGCTGTGGAATTACACAAGTGTGCCACAATCCCCCAATTTTTTGTTTGACTGGTTTTTGGCCAGGGCTAGAGATGGAATATAGTGTTTTTGTTTGTTTTCAGACGAGGTCTCATTATGTAGTTTTGGCTGTCCTAGAACTTGCTAGTTAAACTAGGCTGGCCTTGAACTCAGAGATCTGCCTGCCTCTGCCTCCTAAATGCTATGGCTAAAAGTGTGGGCCACTATGCCAGGTGCAATGCTGTTTTAATGGCTTTTTAACTTAAAGTATGGCTAAAAAAAAACCCGTCCCCTCCTTTGCCTGAATACATGTGTCTGTTCTCTTGTTTTTTTTTTTTTTTTA